ATCTTAGAACAAATAAATTTCACATAAAAAGGAGATTGTTTATTTAGCGCACTGTCCCGTTTCGCCTTATATTGTCTGTATGTACTGTACAGCTTGCTCTATCAGGTTCAAAGTCGGCCTAGTACTTGAAATGAACCGATGTTTCCAAAGAATTCTAATAATTAATTCTGTAATAACGTACTCTCAATTCAACTACTCTACCTAGCCGGTCACTCCCTTTAATAAAACATTTTGTATTCCTTGAAGTGTGGAGGCATTTAACCCTTGGACACAAGTTTGGAGGACACTGCCTCCGATGAATAAACCTCGGACAGGACATACCATGGAGGTCAGGGCGTATTCCTTGAGGGGAGGAAAAACCACAACAATTTCTCGACCGAGCCACATTCTCCTTTATTTTTCGTCCGAGCCACCTCAAAATTTTTGTCCTTCCCTCTGATTGAGATGCTTATTTGTAGTACATCGTTTTTTTCACTTATTTAAAAAATTGTATAATATTTTATTTTTCTTCAGACGTCGCCAGATTTTCAAAACATATTTTTATTTGCAAGGGTTGAACAATATTGGAAGGACAAGGATTTCACGGTGGCTCGGTCAAGAAAATAAGGAGAATGTGGCTCGGACAGTATATTGTTGTGGTTGGCCTACTCTCCGTATTATGATTATTTTGATTATTCTAAAGAAGAAAACTTTTAAATCAATTCCGTCGTAAATTTGAAACGTTACAATCAAAATCTTTGTTTTCTATATATAAATTTGGCTTGTCTGTTTGTTTGTTTGTTTGTTTGTCTGTCTGTCTGTCTGTTTGTATCCAATAAACGTCAAAACGGCTGAACCGATCGGGCCCAAATTTTTTGTGGGACATCTAGGGACCCCAGGGAAGGTTTATGAATGATTGAAATTTTAAATATTTATTTTAAAAATTTGATTTTTACAAAACTCTACGTACGGGCAAAGCCAGGCCCTTCAGCTAGTTATTATAAATATTATCATTATCATTATTATTAATATTATTATGACTAGCGAGGGTTTGGGAGCTATTATGCTGGTGGTTTACCAACTGATCTCTCCCTTCTATCCAACCACCTGGAGGAGCAAGGATATAATAATTCTCTTCTAGGCAAATGGCATCTAGGATTCTGCAGGTTGGTTTAAAGGGAATGTTATCTAAATAATTCACAAGTTAAAGGGACTGTGAGCGTGATTTCAAATGAGCATCCATGCAAAGATGGCAAAGCCAGATTCACTTCAGTACCCTTGAAACCTGAATCGGATCAAGAATGTGGAAGATATCGTCATATTTCTGGGTTGACAAATATTGCTTGATCAGACAAAACTTTTAAAGTATCGTTGTAAATCGGGCACTGCCATCTCTGCATGTTCAGTCCCTTAATACTCCCTCGAAACTAAAGCTTTTATCAAATATGATATTATTTAGCAAAATCATGCGTTTCTGCGCTGCGCAAAAACGCATGAAAAACTACAGTTTGCAGTGCGTTGGACAAAATGTGTGTTTTTTTTAGAAAACTTGAAAACTTGCAAGAATTCCATTTTTAATTTTGATTTAATTTAGTGTACCGTGTAGCAGGGATAAAAGCTAGATAGTTTTATTTTTTTTATTTTCAGTGAAGATTACACACCACTTAAAAGAGGCTTTCATAACTTTTCAGGTTAGATAATTTGAATTCTACGCATAATTGGATACGTTTTTGCAATTTACAAAATACTGAAAGTTTTAACAGATGCAAAAATATTGGTCACGCTGGGGTAATTTTTTTAAATTTAAATTTTTTTCTTCATTTTGGTGTATCAAAAAAGTAAATTTAAAAATAATAAGACGGCCTTTAAAAATCTCTTCTCCAAATCAAGTACAGTCTGTTTAGCATGTATCTATTCGAGGCTGACCGGTTCGAAACGCACCTCTGCTCTTTTGTAAAAGTAAATTCAACCTAAATGAGGCATTAACTTTGACCACGTCAACCTTGTTGCACCGGCTAGTCCTGTCCAAAGAGCTAGGTATAGTACAAACTGGGATCGGAAAGGTTGACCCAGCTGGGAAATTCAAATGTGCTACGGCTGCTAGTGTCGACCCCTTCTCCATTGTATTCCATACTCCTTGATTAAAACGCACACAGTCGGAGACGTACAGTCGTCGTCGTCGTATATACATACAATAAAGACGACTTACTATTTCAATTTTTTAAACAGCAGAGGCCCAAGCATGTCAACAAAGAGAAGTTGTCAATTTACAGCTTTTCTTTGCTTACTTGTAAACAGTGGCGGCCATAAGGGGGGTTATTAGGTATGGGCACAATCTTGTGAGCTATCAATGTCAATCGGAAGCTTGTAACTATCGATGCCAAACCAATGGACACAATCCTCAACTTGTTTGTTAACACAAGGAATAATTACGCTCTCGCAGTAAACAGTACGGAGTCTCTATATCAACTGATGTATTTGAGTTGTTACAAGTTAAAGTTAATAGAGGTAATTACAATTTCTACGTCGGTATCTATATCACATGATTAAGACAATCATGTTACATATTTACACCACAGTTTAACTAGACGCAATTATGATGTACGTCATTTTATATCACATGATTAAGCTAATCATGCTATGTATTGATTTGAAGTGCAGTTCTAATGTATACTTAGAGATTCACAAACCTAAATAAATAGTAATGTACAACGTAGTTTAGGTTTACAGATATCGTGTTACACAATATTCATTACAAACCTACACAACTTTGAACTTTTCAACCAAGCTAAGAACATTCTTGTGGCTCAAAAAAAGTTGAGCTTGATCGGTTTAGACGTTTTTACGTTTACTGGATACAAACAAACAGACATGCAAAGTATACAGTAGACTTTTAGGGCGCTTCACGCACATCTTCTATTTCAGTCATTTAGTCTTTGTATACATTGTAAAACAAAAACGAAGAAAAATTTTGTTGATTTCATAAAAAAAAGTTTGTGGAATTTCAAAATTTTGAAATTTAATCATTCATGAACCTTTGCTGGGGTCATATGAGGTCCCACAAATAAATGTTGGCCCAGTTTTTACGTTTATTGGATACAAACAAACAGACAAACACCCAGACACCCACCCTAGTATATATATATACTAGGCTTTTATGGCGCTTCACGCCCATCTTCTATTTTAATTGTGAACACGTTCTCTTGTGTACATTGTAGAACAACACAAAAAAATTCGCGGATTTNAGAGGGGGGGGGCATTGATCAAGGAAGCGGAAAGAGGATTGATCTTGAATATAGTTTTTAGTTTATGCTGTGCGGTGCCAGGGGGCCGAGCTCTATATAATTACAATGTTTCAAGATGTGACATACAAGGTTTACACAAAAGATGAGACTTTATGACAACCTGTATCGTCATAAAAGTGTTTTTTTAGACTTTGGTAAATTTTATGATGTTAGGTACTTTTACAAAGGCCTTTTCCCAAGCAGCAAATTCCCAAGGGTATTTTCCCAAGTGGGCAACTTCCCAAATGTACAATTTCTCAAACGAAAACTTCCCAAGTATGTCCTAGCCACAGCGCTAGGCCCCCTAGCATATTCTAGCCGCAGCGCTCGGCCCCCACCCTATTGAGGCCTGCGGTGTCTCACCTTTGGGAAGTTGCTGCTTGGGAAGTTGTACATTTGGGAAGTTGCCACTTGGGAAATTGTCACCTGGCTAGCCGCCCTTGGGAAAATCATTTGGGAAAATACCTTACACCTATTTAATGATCTAGTAAAGAGAGATACAATTGAGCATTTACAGGGAACCAGAGGCCAAATTTAAAGAATTTGAGCGGCGGCTTAAATTTAAGCCGCCGCTCAAATATAGTCGGTTTCACTTAAAATTGTATTCAATGTTTCAAGATTTAAGCCGGCTCTCAATTAAAACCGGTTTTTGGCGGATTTAAGACGCGGCTCAAATTCATTAAATTAGGACACAGGAAGTTTAGAACATAGCAAGATTTATTTCGTACAGTCGTCTTTGAAGTTGCATTCTTTGTGGATAACCCTGTACAAAGTGAAAATTTAAAGAAACTCCGTGTAGTATATTTATAATGGAGAGATTATTGTCATTAAGAGAGTAGAAGAGTAACTCCCACAACAAAGTGTACTGCAGATTTTGCAGTACATTTCACGCAACACAAAAGAACAGTTCACTCGCAGAAAAAATATTTTCTTTGCAACCTTTTACCTAATAATGGTGTTAATATTTAATATTTGAAACTAAGATTTACTGATCTAACAAAATTTAAAGTTTAATTTGAAAATCATATTTGTAACAAAATTTTGTTTAATCATTTCGCCTTAAAGGGACTGAAGCGTAATTTCAAGTGACCCTCCCTGTAAAGATGGCAATGCCTGATTTACAAGGACATTCTTAAGAGCTTTGTCGGATAAAGAATGAATTAAATATCAATGTTTTTGTTACTTTAAAATGTTAATTTTCATTCGCAGTTTTCTGCGAAACTGACTTGCGCATTTCTTATTTTTAAGAAGCAATGAAGAAACTGACAGAAATAAACACTTGTTGGCGATATCTTTTAATGGTATCATTGTAAATCGGGCATTGTCACCTTCGCATGTAGGGTCCCTTGAAATTAGGCTTACAATCCCATTCCTTCCCCTTCAGATGGGAGGGGCGACCGACGCTTTACCCAAGATCCACTCTTTCCACGCGCGCGCGTCTGATTGACAAATTGAAGGCGTTGTTCCTAAGGTTGGCAATCGGAATTCCGTTACCCAGAATTGTGCTGAATTGAGCAGAATTGTGCGGAATTGCATAAAATCACTTGAATTGGGAACCCTAATTGTTCTGGCCCTTTTAAATTACAAGCAGGGCTACAAAAAAAACTAAAAAAGGTCAACAAGTCTCATTAGTAATGGTGATCAATTTCTCAGTTTTATGGGTACCACTGTATCTACCAAGAATGTGATATATGTATTTTGATATTTCGTTATTGATTAATTAATTTCTTAGAATAATGAGATTTAAAATGTTTATAAGTTTGGTGATACTAGTTCTTCATCTTAATGGTAAAATTAATATAGTAGCAACAAAGAGAAAAGAATATATATTAGAGTGGAATTTACTAGAAAAAAGTGTAAAACGGCCATTTTGTTGTACTATTTCCATACTGCAGGTGTACTTCACATATTTATGCTATATAACCTTTTGGGCCCTGGAACATCATTTTATAGAAAATCTAAAATTAATATTAAAAGAAAACCAAATTATGAAATAGGCTGGTTTCATAATTGACCAATGATCATTTCAAATAGACTCTATGCCTTTCACTTTACAAACGGTGATTCTATAAATAAAATGATGTCTTTTATTCACCTAATTAATTATAAAGTTTATTTAACAGCTTTAAAAAATTCGAAATTGAAATAGATAGTCTAGGGAACATACTGTATAAATGTACTCTACTGCATATAATTTGTGAACCTTTACATGAGTTTTACACTTTGAACTCCCTTTCAGGCTGAAAGGGACTGAAAAAATTCATACCGAGAGATTGTCTAAATTCTCCTCTATTATTATATATTCTATTCTCTTTGAGTAGCAACCAGAGCTGAGCTGAAAACTTTAGAATGAGATATCCTTAATCCTGATCGCTTAATCTGATTATCCAATGTACACACTTTTGATTTTCTCCTTAGAATCCTCTATTTGGATATTTCTACTGTATAAAAGTTACGTTTGATAACAATTATCACATACAATGCTATATCGATTGGAATAATATCCGATTGAATTAAAGTCAGCTGTTCACAAGCCGGCTTTTAGAGCATTTAAACAAATATAAATTTAATCATGGTTATATGAAATTATTAAAAAAAAACATACTTTAGGACTATTGTCATTTTAAACGTTATTCTTCATAAACATTTATTCAAAACTTACATTCGTTCAATCGACTTACATTCGTTCAATCGATGTTTAGTTCAATTGATATGACACCATCAACACCAGAAATCAAAACCGGGTTTTCAAAAGTTAAAGAGTACATCTTAACATGACACGCTGATTGGTTAAATTTTTAAGTTCTTTCTTGCAGGATATCGAATGTGTTTTAAAATAATCTTAGGTTTAGTAAAACCAGGAGTTTAAGCATTAATCTTGATATCCACCATTCTAAAGTTTTCAGCTCTGGGATATTATATTGTAGATATCGAGATTAATGCTTGACCTCCATCTTTTGTTAATCTGCAGATTAATTAATTAATCTGAATTCGATTTCCCGCATGTTAATCGTAATAACCCAGGCAGGGGTTAAAGAGAGCTTTGAGGGGAGGAATAACTAAAATATGCAAAGGTGTAGTTTTTTTAAATCCTCAAAAAAGTGTCCACAGTGGATATCGAAATCAAGCAATAAGAATTATGAGTAACCAGCTCTGATAACATGTTGAAATTTTGCTGTAGCGGATTTATTTATTAAATATAACTGGACTTAATGAATTTGAGCTAGGTCTATAATAGAGACGGTTCAACCCCGGTTTTTTTAAAGAAAGAATGGAAATTTTTTTTAACTGTTTGCTAATCGAGCAATCGAAGTGGATTCACTCTTTCCCTTCACTTCTGTATGCCGAGTCCATTAGCGTCTGATCTAATCATGTGTTCAGTCATGTGTTTGTTTTCTATTCTGAACCAATAGAAATAGTAAGGAGGTAACATCTATCTTTCTATCTATCTCATTATCCAATTATCCAATTTAAATCCTTAAATCGGCGCTATCAGTAAATGTAAATATTTACTTCTACTGAAACCATAGTGCGTTTGCGATCCATGGGCATTTATAAGATATGAAAAATTATTTTGATGAAAGAGATATCGGCGTAATAAAAAACCCCTAATTTAAAAAAAGAGGGCCATGTCCGATTCACAACGATAGCCTTTTAATGGATTTCTAGCCTGGAAAGTGTTCAATTCTGACAATTTTCTCCAACTTTTACAGGGAAACCACAGGGAGAAAAAAGTCATATTTTTCAATTATTTCAATAAATGAGGGGTCACTTGAAATTCCCTTAAAAGGTTTCCCGCTTTCCTTTCTATTCCTTTCTATGAAGTAAATGATTGTATTTGGTGAATGTGAAAACAATTAAATAAAATTAAAGCCTTTTTCAGTAATTATAAATAGTTAATTACTTTAATTATATTGTATTTTGTATTTTGAAAGTTTCAGATTATTAAATCCGATGTTACAGGCAGAACGCCCATATCAAAACTTTCCACTCCTGGTCCCCCCCCCCCATTTATCAAAAAAGCGTTTTAGATGATAAAGTAAGCCAACATAAATTGTGTTTTTATAAATGCGTTTAAAAAAAAACATCTCAGAGCGGAGAAATTTTATGTTGAATACTCATATTTTGATTTTGGGTACTTTTGATTTAAGGATCAATCTCCTCTTCATTTCAGTTAATCCTCCAGCACCTCGAACTTACCAGAGAGAGAAGCATTTGGTTTCATTTATTTGAAATGAAACGTGTTTTGGTCTTTATAAAAACAATCTTTAAACTTACGGTTTTGTTTAGTTTTTACTTTTTCATTCAAAATTTATATTCAATAAGTATTTAAGAAAAAAGGCTAAAATATTATGCATAATTGTTCAAATTGTGATTGAAAGCCACAGTCTTCTGATATATTGACAGAACCGTTAAATCCACGTGCCAGGGTACGATTACCATGCAGGATTTCGAATAAATATTAAATTAATCTGTAGAACAAGAAATTCGGGTGTCCAGAGAAAGTAGGATACAGTTCTTTTCTAATCCGTATATCTTTGCAACCCTATGGTGTAGATCTTTGTTATTTCTAAGTATGAATTCGGTTATTTCAAATAACTTAAGTTTGAAATATTAAAGGTTTACACCATCAGAGGCCGAATTTAAAGAATTTGAGCCGCGGTTTAAATTTAAGCCGCAGCTTAATTATGGCTGGTTTCACTTAAAATTGTAGCAAATGTTTCAAGATTCAAGCCGGCGCTCAATTTAAACCGGGTTTTGGTGGATTTAAGCCGCGACTTAAATTCTTTAAATTCGGCCTCAGGTGGCGAAGATAAAGATGCAGGATTTCGAATAAATATAAAATTAATCTGGAGATTAACAAAAGATCGAAATCAAGCACTGCTTTCGATATTTACAATACTGAATACAAGAGTTCTCACCTTCGGACTTATTATATACAAAGTTGTAGATAATTAATTCTTATAAATTGTTTCATAATTAAGTTTATGATATAGAAATAATTGTAGACTGTATCTACAAGATATCAACAAATATATTATAGTGGCGCAACTAGGGGGGATTTCGCCCCCACCCAACCCCTCTTCCTCAAAACTTTATATCCCCCCTCCCGACTCTTCTGATCCTAATTGTGGACCATCTTTCATAAAAATCCCCCTCGATACCCCCCTCTCGGAGAAGTGCTAGTTGCACCTCTGTAGCATTTCTTTTTTTTAGGATTTTCTGGATTAAAAAGTAAATATGGTGATAGCAGGCCTAATATAATTGTAATACTAGCAGATGATTTAGGTACATTTTTCCATCTATCTATCTATCTATCTATCTATCTATCTATCTATCTATCTATCTATCTATCTATCTATCTATCTATCTATCTATCTATCTATCTATCTATCTATCTATCTATCTATCTATCTATCTATCTATCTATCTATCTATCTATCTATCTATCTATCTATCTATCTATCTATCTATCTATCTATCTATCTATCTATCTATCTATCTATCTATCTATCTATCTATCTATCTATCTATCTATCTATCTATCTATCTATCTATCTATCTATCTATCTATCTATCTATCTATCTATCTATCTATCTATCTATCTATCTATCTATCTATCTATCTATCTATCTATCTATCTATCTATCTATCTATCTATCTATCTATCTATCTATCTATCTATCTATCTATCTATCTATCTATCTATCTATCTATCTATCTATCTATCTATCTATCTATCTATCTATCTATCTATCTATCTATCTATCTATCTATCTATCTATCTATCTATCTATCTATCTATCTATCTATCTATCTATCTATCTATCTATCTATCTATCTATCTATCTATCTATCTATCTATCTATCTATCTATCTATCTATCTATCTATCTATCTATCTATCTATCTATCTAAGGTGTAAACGATGTATCCTGGAACAATAAAACAGCTGGAACTCCTTATCTAGAAAGGCTGGCTAGGAAGGTAGAAACAGACAAACCATTTTCTTTCTATTTTCAGCGTAGAATTTGTACACTCTCAGTACAGCTTTATCCTTACGTCACAAGTGTCAATTTAGTTTTTACACTTTTTCATATAATCTTGGAAAACATGTCAACTAGTGTGAGAGAATTTCGTTTTCCTTGTTATATTTGACACTTGTGACGTTGTGTATAATTGATCCATTTCTCTGTTGCCACCTATTGTACTTGATAATCTATTTGGATTATTTAAATCATGTAAAATATCATTCAAATTTAAATTTTTTGTGTTTTTATGAATATAAGAAAAATAGCTGAATAATGGAAAAGAAAAAATTCTGGAATGGGCTTTTTATAATAAAAAATATTTTTAAAAAAAACTTTTTTGTAGGGAGTTATATTAGACAACATGTACACATTACCTATCTGTACACCTTCAAGAGCTGCTTTTCTTACAGGAATATGTACTGCAATTTAGATATTATGTTCTGTAATTTAGAGAATATGTCCTGCAATTCAGAGAATATGTACTGTAATTTAGAGATTATGTACTGCAATTTAGAGAATATGTTCTGTAATTTAGAGGATATGTTCTGTAATTTAGAGAATATGTTCTGTAATTTAGAGAATATGTACTGCAATTTAGAGAATATGTACTGTAATTTAGAGAATATGTACTGAAATTTAGAGAATATGTACTGTAATTTAGAGAATATGTACCACAATTTAGATAATATGTACTGCTATTTAGAGAGTATGTACTGCAATTAGAGAATTTGTACTGCAATTTAGAGAATATGTATTGTTATTTAGAGTATGTACTGCTATTCAGAGTGTATGTAGTGCTTTTTAGAGAATATGAACTGCCATTTTTGTATTGCAAATATTAAAAAGTGTAAAAATACTACAAAACATATATTTACTGGAATTTACAATAATATACAGATTAAAGAAGATATTCTGTAATTGAGAAATTATAAATTGAATTAAGAGAAATTGTTCTGTAATTTAGAAAAACTGTACTGCAATATATGAACTGCAATATACCGGAATTAAGAGAAAGTATTCCAATTAAAAAAATATGTAACGCAATGTAGAATTAATTTGTACTGTAATGTAGAAGGTAACAAAATAAATCATATTTTATAATTTTTCTTTAAACGGAAAAATATTGCAATATATTTGGGTCAGGCATTTATCCATTCAGATATGGACTCCAGGTATTATTATTATTATTATTACTATTATTATTATTATTATTATTATTATTATTATTATTATTATTATTATTATTATTATTAATATTATTAATTAATATTTGTGAATACATAAACCAATAATTTTTATCTTATAATGATTATTATTGAATTGTTTTATTCCAACAATATTTTTGTTAAGCCGAATGAAAAGTGTTGGATTACAATGATAATTAAACAGAAATAATTTTATTCGGAGAAAACAAAAAAATAAGTTTTTTTTTGAGAAATTTTTGTCTTCAATGTTCTCCTGTTATTTTAGACAATTTCTTTATAGTGAAAGTTCTAATAAAGAAAAAACGCTGAGAAATTTCAAATTTTCAATTATAAGTATATGTTGGAGCTCCGGCATCAAATTCTCCTTTGCAGAATCATTTGTCAAATATTGTTGAATGATTCTGTTAAGGTGAATTTAATGTTGGTGCTCCAACAATTTTTTTAGTAGAAAATTTGAAATTTCTGTAAGTCCCCCCCCCTTTCTCATCCTGAATACGCCCAAATGGAGGTTGTGAATGAAGAACTGATTGTGTTTGGTGGATTTCCCCACACTGAGTCTGCAGGAACCATAGAATTATTAAAATAACAGATGGACACTAAATCTCATCTTTTCAAGATTTAAGGGTTTTTCGTTCACAAGAAGCCCAAAAGAGTAACGCGCAGAACAGCCTTTCTCTGTGTCTTGTAATTTTACGCAGCATGCGCGTAACTCTTTTGGGCGTCTGCCTCAGGGTTATTGTGAATGAAAACCCCTTAAATCTTGAAAAGACGACATCTAGTGTTCTATCTGTTATTTCAATTAATCTGTGGCAGGAACACTGGAGACATTTGATGGAACTAAATGGACAGAGAAACCTATGAATAAAACTCATTCTTTGTTTGCTTCAGTTTCATTTACATGCAAATAAATCAACTTGATGCATCATTGTGCAATGTTCAGAATAATACACATGTATATTTATTGTTTATTTGTTTATTATTTATTTTTGCCAGGAAGAAAAGTGTTCCCTAAAACAGTCAACCTTTAATAAATGCCCTACTCCATAAGGGGATCTCAAACCCGTATATATCNCATTATCTAATTAGAGATATGAATCCTTATATCGGCGCTATCAGTAAATGGAAATATTTACTTCTACTGAAACTATATAGTGAATTCAACAGAATTTATAGTTTGAAATGATTGCAAAGACATCGGGATTAGAAAATCAGAGTTTGTGGCAAAAACTCCTTTAACTCTGAATTTCAACTTTGAAACCCAATGTAGTAGACCCTAGATATTTCAACTATATTGCTGTTAAATCAAATAATCTAAGTTTAAACTATCAATGGTTTACTCCGACAAAGATACAGGGGTTAGAAATTCAAATTTTGGGGCAAAAACTCAATTCCTTTGTAGAAGTGAGATTTACACAGATCGTTTTATTATTAAATTGGATTTTAAGATGAACGGGAAAGATAAAAAATTCGATTTATCTTAGTAAAATGTACGCTTAATACTATATTATCTGTAACGTTAGATCCCCATTAACACAGATTACTCATTGATAAGTCCATCGGCGGAAATAACTATGTTTAATATATACCCCGCAGTAAGTCGTGCCAATTGTTAACTGAAACCAAGGTTATAATGCAAGGAAAGTTATTATAGAGGTGTACGCATCTTTTGTACTGCAGTGTACTGTCTCTGGGCGGTAATGTAAACACAAGACGGATGTCGAAGCCTGACATAGGATCCATATTTCACATAAAAAATCAATGAAATATTTTGGCCATAGAAAACTATTATTATTATTCAATGCTTTTATCCTCCTTGGCTCTTAAACGCACACTGATGCATCTATTCTTATTTACATATTCCGCCCAGAGAGAACTGGTTTCAATATGTACGCACTACGCAGAGTATACGCGACCGCAATTAACTTTTCTTGCATTAGTACCTTGCTTGAAACCTAGTCGTAAAGGAATAGAATTTAATAGTACAATGAGATGTTAAGCACAGTAACTTTTATCAAATTCTGGGAATTAGCCATTTTCTTTATTTTTTTTATTCTTTTAAATAAAAAAATACTTAAAACCAAAACCGAGAATTTATTGTTATTTTGAAAATAAATCCGCAAACTCAAATTCCTTAATGTGTTATCAAAAATAATGTAAAATATAAGCGAATATATAATAATGTTATAACATATTAACCATTCTAATATTTGCAAACTATAAATATTTAGATTAAAAAAAATTTGATGAAAATTTCAAAGTCTACCAAAAATAAAAATAATCATTTGACAGCAAAAACATGGATATCAAATAAATACTTGATTAGACAAATTGTTATAAAATTATTTTTTTATTATATTATTATATCCTGATAAAAAAGACAGCCTAGCATAGATGGACAATATTCTATAGTTTGAATGACATTTGAACATTGTGAAAAAATATTTTACATAGATGTTAGTAATAATAAAACTAATTTTATATTCATATCTTATTATTGGCCTTTTTTAATGTTTTTTTCCCTTTTGCCATGCAAAAGAAAATTTTTTATTTCATTAAATTTTTTGTTTCAGAACTCCGGATATACAGTACAACGAGATATGTCGACAAAGCAATTCAAATTATCAAGGAGAGCCGGAAAAAGGTATCTTTGGAAATTTAAATTTTTTTGCATAATACACGGTGGACTAAGCCAGTGGGGTCGGTCAAATAGGCCTAGGAGTAGGCCGGGTACTGTAAAAAGTCTGAACGCGCCATGAGAGTTGTCATAGTTAGCCCTCCGACAGGACTATGCCAAGAAAATTGACCCCTGTCATATGTTAGTATGGTTAGGGCGACGTACTGTACAGAATATGGAACCGGGCTACCATAGGATCGGGTCAGTACACGCTGTTATCTGGCAGGCCGGTACAAACTGGGCTCGTCCTGTTCGAATTTAAATTTACTATGGACCAGATTGAATTTATGTTAATTTACATGTATTTTCATTAAACCCCGATAGTAACCAATAATTTTTCTTTATTGAAACAACTTTTAATAAGAAACAGAAGTCTGGTCTTTTGGTGGCAATTTGCAATTAAAAACATTTTGCTAGAATTTGAAAAGATAATATAAAAAAAATATCTCAAAAAGTTTTAGCTGCAGGACAAAGTTCAGTAAAAACATTGATCAGAAAATTTTCAAACATTTGTTATAAAAACATTAAAAAAACATGCTACATACTAACAAAATGTTCGTAATTTTGAAATGCAGAGGTTTTTTTAAGAAATTAAAGACGTAATTTCAAAAGAGTCAAATTTACAACGGCACCCTTTAAACCTTTTTTCATCAAGGTTTTCTATAGTTATAATAATATTAAACAATAAACACTCTCAAAATAGAAAAATAGAAAAAGAGTATTGTTGTAAATCTGACTGGAAATTACGCGTACAGTCCCTTTAATTAAATGTGTACAGTTCCTTTAATGATTTATATTTCAGCCCTTCTTCATCTACCTATCCTTGTTTACGAAGATATATCCATATCTGTACAAAGGTTCAAACAAATCTCTGACAGAGATCAGGTGTGTACAAAGAGAATAGAATATATATTAGAGTGGAGTTTAGACAATCCCTCGGTATGAATTTTGTCAGTCCCTTTCAGCCTGAAAGGAAGTTCAAAGTGTAAAAATCATTTAAATGTTCACAAATTATATGCAGTAGAGTACATTAATACAGTATGTTCCCTAGACTATCCATTTTAATTTCGAATTTTTTAAAGCTGTTAAATAAACTTTATAAAATGAATTAGGTGAATAAAAAACATCATTTGATTATAGTTATAACGGAAAATCATCGTTTGTAAAGTGAAAGGCATAGAGTCTATGTGAAATGATCATTGGTCAATTATGAAATCAGCCTATTTCATAATTTGGTTTTCTTTTAACATTAATTTTAGATTTTTTATAAAATGATGTTCCAGGGCCCAAAAGGTTATATAGCAAAAATATGTGAAGTACACCTGCAGTATGGAAACAGTACAACAAAATGGCCGTTT